GCAGAATCCTCTGTTTTTGCTGGTCCGACACTCGCAGGTGATCCAGGGATTGCGCCACTCCTTAACCCAGGATCTATCGCTCCTCGTTCGAATATTCTGCCCGGTCCAGGTTCTTCGTTGTCTGATTTAGTTAAAACCATTGGACTTTCTGCACTTAATATTACAAATATAGTTACCACTAAATTGAATGCCGTGGAAGATTACTTGTCTTGGCGTACTCAATTTGAGTCGTTTCTGGTCTCCAATGGTTTTTTGGGTATTTTAAATGGCTCGATTCCTGCTCCTTCCCCCTATCTTTTTGATGCATGTCAGCGTGAGGTTCTTAATCCAGATTATTGTAATTGATTAAAACTTGATCAAACTGTCCGGTCTTGGTTGTTTGCTACTCTGTCACGTGATGTGTTAATTGAGGTTCGAGAATTAAAAAATGCTTCCGCTATTTGGGGTCGTTTGGAGTCACATTTTATGTCTGCTAGTCTTGCTCGGTCCATGGAACTAAAACGGCAGCTAACTCATTCTCGGAAGAGTCCCACTCAGTCCATGGATCACTATCTTAGGGATATTAAAAATATTGCTGATAATTTGGCCTGCATTAATTCTCCGGTCTCTACCAAGGAACTCTTTCAGACTATTTTGCTTGGTTTGGGAAGAGATTATGAGTCTCTTATTACTTCGGTAGAATTGTTTCCTGAAAGTTTTACGTTTGAGAAATTGCGCACACACCTCATTGAGAAGGAGCAGACCATTCAATATATGCGTGCCATGGAAGACTCCACTCAAGCTCAGGCCTTTGCGGGTCAAGTTCAGCCCGCAGGACCACTTTCCCTTGGCGGACAGCAGCAACACCATGGCGGGCAGCAGCAGCAGCATACTGGCGGCCAGCAGCAACAGCAAAATGGCGGCAGAGGACAACGCGGCCGAGGCGGCCGCGGGCAGCGTGGCCGAGGTGGCCGCGGCGGTCGGGGGCAGAGGGGTCGTGGCTATGGCCCACATCAGGCTGGCTATGGTTTCGGCTATGGCTATCTTCCCCCCGGCTATTTTCCAGGGGGTGCACCTCATGCTGGCATTCTTGGGGCTCCAGGCTCAGCGGGTATGTCTGTTCAGTCAAATTTTTATACTTTTGCTTTATCTGCTTCTTGTGCTAATCGTGGTTATGCAGGCTCTTCTTCTGGTGAAGGGAATTCAGTCCCTCCCCCCGTTGTTTGTCAGATTTGTTATGCTCCAGGTCACCCTGTGTCTACCTGTCCCTCTCGTTTTACTCAGCCGGCTGCACCTGCTCTTGCGGCTCACGCTCCTGATGCATCCGATTTTGTTTGGTATCCTGACTCCGGTGCCTCAGCACATATGACACTACATCAAGGTATTTTATCTAATAAATCCTTTTCACCTAATTCTCATTCTATCACTGTTGCAAATGGTACATCCCTCCCTGTTATGCATACTGGTCAGGCCATTTTATCTTCCTACAGCCGTCCTCTTCACTTAAAATCTGTTTTTCATGTGCCTAACATTAAATATAATCTTTTGTCCATTCACAAATTGTGTGCTGACAACAACTGTGCTGTTATTTTTGACAAAAATTATTTTTCTGTCAAGGACGTAACAACGGGGGCGGTTCTTCTTCGGGCGCATAGTGATAATGGTGTCTACCGTGTTCGCCAACCTGCACCTTCACCCATTGCTTTATCCGCAGTTTCGTTATCTTTATGGCATAATAGATTAGGACATTGTGGTACTCGTGTTTTAGATCAGCTTCGCATTAATAATTGTATTTCTGGACCTGCTACTTCTGTTTCTGATTGTATTCCCTGTCGTTTGGGGAAATCTCAACGGTTACCATTTAATAAAGTTTTTCATAATAGTCCATGTGCCTTGTATTTAATTCATTCTGATGTTTGGCAATCTCCCGTGCATTCTCATCTTGGTTATAAATATTATGTTTGTTTTGTGGATGATTTTTCACGTTTCACTTGGGTTTACCCCATGCGGCGCAAGTCTGAGGTTCTTACTCATTTTCATCATTTTAAATTAATGATTGAAAATTTACTTGACCGCAAGATTAAGATTTTTCAGAGTGATGGAGGGGGTGAATTTGACAATTTCTCTTTACGTAATATTTTTACTACTCATGGTATAGTTTTTCAAAAATCTTGTCCTGAAACTCCACAGCAAAATGGTGTGGCTGAGCGTAAGCATCGGCATTTACTTGAACTTGCACGCACTATGCTTATTACTGCTAAGTTACCAGCTTCTTTTTGGGTAGATGCCGTGCTTACCGCCACTTTTATTATAAATCGTTTACCCTCTCCTACTCTACATGGTCTCTCTCCGTATGAAAAATTATTTCACTCCAAACCGGATTTTTCTATGATGCGAGTCTTTGGTTGTGCATGTTTTCCTAATTTTAATGCCTCATCTGCTAATAAACTTTTGCCACGACTTATCACATGTGTTTTTTTAGGCTATGCGTCTGAGTATAAAGGGTACCGTTGTTATGATCCTATTTCTGGCAGGTGTATATCAGTAGGAATGTTAAATTTCTAGAAAATATTTTTCCATACTCTGATTTAATGCGAACCACAGTGTCTACGTCTACAGTGTCTAATTCATCTTCCCCCCTATTCTCTCCCATGCCCGAGACCACCAGGTACCACTCTCCCCTGCACTTTCTCCATTGCTTATTTCATCACCCACTAGCAGACCCTCTTCGGCCAGTGCTACCACACCAACCAGCTCCCCAATTACACCTCACTGCTCCACTACCTATACCGATGACCCACCAACCAGCCTCCCACTTACACCTCAGCCCCGCCTTTCAGCCGAAACTGCAGGCAGTCCGTCCCCCTCCACTACTGAGCCACCTTCACCAGTCACATGCCCCGTTTCATCATCTCCCCCCTCCGCCCCGATTGCTAATGTTCATCCCATGCAAACCCGATCCAAATCCGGGATTTTTAAACCCAAAGCTATTTTCAATTTAAATACAGTTCAGTTTGATCTCGCCGAAAACGTAAATGCAGCCTTTGACTAAACTCACGAACCACGTACGAACACCAACTCACCAAAGAAGAAGGAACCTTGGAGCGCTGACTAGCCCGACTCGGTGACCGCAGACTGCCTACCACCGAGTCATCGACGCTTGGCCGCCTGCCGTCCTGCCCCGGCCCTTCTCAGAATCTCAGTTGTTTAATGTTTGTAAATGATTATGAACAGGAAAATACTACGTAGATTTTTATTATGGTTAAAGAGCAATATAGATTTTCTTGCTATACCTTGTGATCTATATATTATTGAATTGTATATTTGTATCTATTCGGTTAAGGTTAAATGCCAATGTTATTGAGTCATCGAGTGTGGTGGGTTTTGAGTTTCAAACCTGTTAAATGATTAGTTGCTGATTAATTTGTTGATAAATGATAAATAATTAGTTGATTAATGTAGTGTAGGCTTTTGAGTGCTAAAATCAAATGTTTAGTTCATATTCTTAATTGTTAGCTAGGTGCTATAATCTATTGGTTTTTTAGGTAAAGAAATTCATATATATCTCATGAACTTATAAACTTAATTAATTTGAAGGTGAAATAAAAATGATTGAATTCGAACGGAAGAAACAAAAAAAAAGGTTAGATCAGAGAAAGTCTAAGTCAAAAAGTTCAATGAAAAAAGTTTGTTTGTGTGAAGAAGTCAATCTGGAATGTCCTTCCCAAGATGCGAACTCAGAGAAGAAGAATGATTTAGCTACCGAAAATGAAATAGTTCAGAGTGAACATGTCAAAGGAGGGGAGGGGAAAAATTAAGAGATAATAATCATGTCATTCTACTTTGTTTAATTTAACGAATTTATGTCTTTTCTTTTGACAATGTTGTTGTTGCCTTTATTATAAATGCGGTGAATCATCATCATCATACATGTTGGTTTAGACAGAAAAGAGTTCTACAATTTTCTTAAAATTGGCTTATTTTAAATTAGCCGCCTTTAGGCCATCTCCAACACTTTACACCATTTTTTACACTAAAATGGTGTAAACATCACATCAAACAGTATTTTATCTCCAACAGTTTACACCATTTTCATCACCAAAAAGGAATATTCTCTTTTTATTCTTTTTACTAACTTTTTACCATTCTTCTATTTAAGTATCTAATTATCATATATTTATACATTAGCCCCTAATTTAATATTTTGACATTTCACACATTATTTCACACATACAAACTAAAATACACCATTTTAATATGTATTTTCACGCATTTCACTAATTAAAATACAATAATCAATATTTCACTAATTATAATGGTGTTATTAATTGTAATTTTAATTATGTTATTTTCTTAGGTATCATTTGTATTCTGTTATTATGTTGTTTCGATTTGAAACTTTATTTATAATATTGTGCGATTTAAATTTTATTATATTTTTGTTATTTTCTATCAAATTAATAATTTTAATTTGTTGTTCTATGCAGATGTTTTTACTTGGACTGTAATTTGTCTCAGATCAGATCAGACCGGATTAGACCAGACTTGAGTAATTATAAAAATACAAAGAAATCAGACCAGACCAAATCAGTTCAGAACAGACCAGACCACATCCGACCAAATCAGACCAACAAATTTTAGTCTAAGTAAAAACATCCTAATTTGTTGTTTTAAAAATGGGTCAAAACTATAATAATCAAAACTTTGGGTCACATTTGAAATTAAAAAAAAATAGAAAAAGAAGATGGTGTTGGATTTGGTGTACGCCATATATGGCGTAAAGCCAAAGGCTTTCCACCAAAATGGTGAAATGGTGTTGAAGATGGTGTGGCTATTGGAGCATTTTTTTTTGGCAAATGCACCATTTTGGTGTAGAAGTTGGTCCTTGTTGGAGATGCCTTAGGTCTTCAAACCTATAAGGCCGCCCCTAGGTCAACTCAATGTTTCTCGTCGTTCTATTTTCAAATTGAAATGATTTTCTTGTGAACGCTCATATCGATCGCTTAGCAAAATTGTTTTAATAAAGATCGAACAATTGGTATCATCATTAGTAAATTTTAAGTATATATATACATATACACAAAACACAAATACTTGTGGGCACCAATGAAGATCAATAGAAACAACAAGAAGTTACTCTGAGAGACAAATAATGATCAGCAATCCAGGGTCGAAATGAAGTCAAGAATGAGCAAAAAGAGGTTGATGATATCCAAAAAAAGAGCGCACGCCGCTTCAATGTATTCATCGTAGCTGAACCGCTTGATCAAGTTGTATGTATCGAATATGATGAAACCCGAAAAGACAAGCACTCCCCCGCCCGCGCATAACAACTGGACAACTCTCCCCATATGAAAAACCGCCTGCCCATCATAATAAAACATTGTACAACTTATAAGAGTTAAGAGTGGAATGGGAGAAATCGGCGTTAAGCGTTATTGTAGTGATTATCTCATTTTTCCTTTTTTCATTTGTGGACTAAGTTTGTCTGTACATCGAAATAATTTCTTTTTATTCCAATTCATTTTGACTCAGGGGAAATTCTCATAATAATAGGAGTAAAAGCGTTTGAGAATTTCAAAATATGATTTTCATGTTTTTATTCCCTAAATAGAAGTAATTACGGTCAAGCTTGGAAAGTATTGTCAGGTTAAGTGTCTGGCACTAGGGTTGTAAACGAATCAAATAATTTGTACTCGATTCGCGATTCGAATTCGTATAAGACGATTCGAATTCGGAAAATTCAAATACAAATAAGAATATTAAATTTGATTCGAGTTTTTATCAAATACAAATAAGAATATCAGTGTATTCAATTCGAATATTAATCAAATATATTCGATTAATAACAATGGTAATATTAATATCAATATTAATAATAATAGTAATAACACTATAACAACTTTTAAAAGATAGAAATATCCTCAGAGTGTAGCCCATATATACATTTTTGCATACAGATTCCAAGCCCATTTGTAATAAACTAGAATATAAATACGAATACAAATCATTTTTTGGTTCAAATGTCTTTCGAATACAATACAAATAATTATGTATTCGATTTAAAGAATAAAATCAGGGTTGTTTGACTTTAATATATACAATTATCAACTTATTTCACACATTATAAGTATAATTTCTAATGCATGTGTGTTAGTGTTTATTTCAAAAAGTTTGAAATAAATTTATATTTATTAATCATAAAAGTAATTCACTTTATTGTGCATCATCTAAAAATGTATTGATCCATACAATTTAAATTCTAAAAACACATACTCCATTAAGTCATAACATGCATTTACAAAATAAAAAATACGGAATATAAGAAAAAGTTATTTTAAAGTGTTATTTGACTAATTTTTAACCTTTGTTCAAATCGATTCGATATTCGTATATGATTCGTTAACTATTCGCATGGTTAAACAAATACAAATACAAATCGAAATTAATATTCATTTCATATTTGAATTCGAATTCGTATTCGAAAAAATTATACAAATACAAAATCTCATTATTCGACTCAATTCGGTTCGTATACAACCCTATCTGGCACTGCCAAAATATAATAGTAATTATTCATATTTCGAGAATAAAAATATCAACGTCTTATTTTGAAATACACAAATGTTTTAAGTCCATGGCCTATTTAATTAGGCAATTTTTCCCTTTTTACCTTATTTACACTTTACCAAATTAATATCAATCACACAACTTTACTTTTATTAAAAAGTGCAGTAGTACTCCTGGCTTCTTGTCCCAACCAATCTCAAGGGAAAAGATATGCAGAGTGTTTTTCAGAACCCCAACTATATACCTAATTGGCATTTAAGACAATTTCTTCAAAATGTTGATAATTTAAGGTACCATTTATAAATTTTAAGACCTAATTGGCATTAAAGACCATTTATAGACCATTTCCTCTATAAATATATTATGCTTCCATTTAATCCGGTTTGGCCTATTTAAATAAGAATTATATTGATTAGAATAGGTTGGTCTAAGATCCAAATAATTCCAATCAAGGAAAAGAATTGAAATATAGAGCCCGTTTGGTAGCATCAAAATCGGCTGTTTTGGCTGATTCTGCTGAAATTTATGATATTCTGGCTGGAGTGGCTGTTTTGGCTGATTCTGCTGATTTAAGAAAAAAATATTTTAAAAATATATTTTATTAATAAATTAAAGAAAAAATTATATGTAAAAATAACTAAAATGGTCCTCTACAGTAACTTCAGCCAATACAGCCAGAAAAGTAACTCCAACCTTACTTTTTCGGCTTATGACACAATTCAGCGCGTGAAAGTAAAAGTTACGTGTTTGGTGAAAAAGCTGGCTGATAAACTTGATAAGCCGAAAACAGAGTTCTCCAAACGGGCTCATAATGTGACATAAAGCTCCCAAAAAGTAGCGAAATTTGTGATAATGTCAAAAACTTGTGAATCGAAGTTGACATGGATAGTTTTATCAAAATTAGAAAATGCAAAAATGCACTTTTGAGAATTAATCATTTGATTCATTGGATGCCTAATCTGAATAGCTAGCTAATTGCTTTACGTCTAACGTGTTCTCACTTGCAAAGAAATAGGCCTAAAACCGCTAAAACCAATTCCATCAGTTTTTCACTTTTGTCACCCCCGTAAAAATGGCTCAAACCAATTCCCCAGAGTAGATTCTATGGTACCCAAAAGGCCAAAAGGTATCATACCTTTGTTCACATGAACCAATGAGAATGTATGTAGCAGTTGAATTATTTAAATCTAAATTAAAAATGATCAAGTGATGTGGTCCAATCAAATGAATGATAGATACGGTACCCCATATTTTAGAAAGGTACCAGAATTGTCACCTTCCAGCAGTTTTGCACTTTTGTCACCCCTACAATTATGGCACTAAATATACGGAGCGTACGTCTTTTAAGGAGGTGACCTCCAGCGTAAAATGTTCCAAAAGGTTGAATTCCCACCTCAATGGAGCCTTCACGACCGACTCAACAAGACATTTTAGAGGTTATAAGTCACGGTGACTCAGTCAGTCCAATGATGATAGACCGTGTACTCATGCACAACACATGTTCAGCCCAGCACACATGAGTTGCAAGTTTCGTTCTTTGGTTAATTAATTCCAACTTTCCCCCACTCAATCAACTGAGCTACTCGTGCGGGTTTCTCAAAATATGAGGCGTTCCCAAATCCAAAGTTGACAAAAAAAAGAACACAAATAATACTCCTTTTTGTTAAAAAAAAAAGTGAACAGATCATAATTCAAGTTTACCTTCACAATACCAAAGACGATGAGCACCATGAGACCAGAGATCAACAAGGGATAAAGAAAATCGAAATCCCATCCTCTCTTTGCAGCCCAGAATGTGAACAGCGTAAGCAGGACAAATATAAGAACCGTCAAGCCAGCAGCCATCAAGACATATATTCCTATATATATATATATATCCTCCATATTATATTCATGGTTGACTTGGATGTTTTTACTTGGACTGTAATTTGTCCCAGACTTGGATAGTTATAAAAATACAAAGAAACCAGACCAGACCAGATCAGCAAATTACACTCCCAGTAAAAACATCTGAAATTATAAATAAAATTTTCTTAATTAATAGCATCAAATCTTTAAGTAATTAACGGCAATTCAAGTAGAACTAAGATCCTTCAATACTCATTAAGTTACTACATTATGTAAAGGAATATCAGTATTGTACTATGTATTACTTAGTACCTTTTTTATATGTGCAAGTCGCTCCAATCATGAGAGCCATGGCGAGTGTAAAGAGAAAAAAGAGAACATAGTTCCAAGGATGAATCTTGCTGTAGCAATACATTGCTATGAGAACTGTTATTTATATCATCAAATAATTAAAAATATTGTCAATTGAGACACATAATCCCAATTAGTAGAATCCGAGCACTAAATTTGGAATATTATAATAAAATTATAAAAGAGACCCAGGGTAAATTTCACGCAATATATGAGAAACCAAAAATGTTATGAATCATTAAAACTAAAACCCCCAAAAAATGCTTGAAAAACATTTAAATCATGAAAATGTGTACACGAACTGTTTCAAAAAGTAAGAATAACTATGTATGTAGGAGGTTGAAACATGAAAGGGCCGGCCAATGCAAGGGTTCGGAGAAGGGTCCCACCACATGCAAAAGTGTAGAAGGAGAAGATCGACTACCCTTGTTATTTCGACAAGAGGCTGCTCTCAATATTTGAACTCGTGGCCTCTCAATCGTACAACACCATAACAGGTACGTCGAGACTCGAGACTATTATTTGAGCATATTATTAATATTTTATAAACCTTAACACTTATACATGTGTATACACTACAAATTTTTTCTTGGACCTCCCCCTCTCCACTAGTACAATATACATAGTATAAGAACATGAATGAATTGAACAACAGAAAATCATTTTTTGAAGGTACAATGTACTCTCTATTTGGTAAGGATTACTCACATACAAAGACGAGAACGACTACGGCTATGAAGGCGATCAGCCCTCCGGTGGTGTTGAGGAATGTCTTGACGGCGGGGATTAGATACATGGCGACGCCAACGGCCGTGCAGAGAAACAGTTGAAGTGAAACAAGGGCATAAACCTTGCGAATGAATGCCCAACGCATCTCTCGACTCACATCACTCACAGGTGTTTTTCCACCTTCAATGTCAAAGCGTGAAGCCATTATCACATGAATTTTTGGATTTTTTGTGGGAGTTTGTAAAATGGGTAGTGGAAATGATTATATAAGGGTCTGTTTGCAATAGCTTCTGCTTTTAAAAAAGTGTTTTTTTAATGAAATGGGGAGAAGTGATTAAGGGTTGGTTTGCAACTGCTTTTAAAAAAGCACTTCTCAGCTTCTGGCTTTCAAAAAGCACTTATTTTCCCAAACACTACAACTTTTATTTTTCTCGGCTTACGTGTCAAAAGTGCTTTTACTTTTTTTATTACACAAAAAGCACTTATTTTACCAAACACTACCCACTTTTACTTTTCAAAATCACTTTTTTCTCAAACACTATCAACTTTTATTTAATCACTTCTTCCCATTTCATTAAAAAAAACACTTTTTTTAAAAGCAGAAGCTGTTACAAACAGACCCTAAATAAAAGTTGATAGTGTTTGAGAAAAAAATGATTTGAAAAGTAAAAGTGGGTAGTGTTTGTTAAAATAAATGCTTTTTGTGTAATAGAAAAAGTAAAAGCACTTTTGACGCGGAAGCCGAGAAAAATAAAAGTTGTAGTGTTTGAGAAAATAAGTGCTTTTTAAAGCCAATAACTGAGAAGTGTTTTTTTAAAAGCAGTCACCAATCCTAAATAGGACTAAGTAAAGTAGAACAAACATAGAATATTTGCAGTTTGGACTAGTTTGAGTCGCAAAACAAATTAAAACAAAGTTTAGCAAACCCATACGTATAAAGGGAAATTCAATCATTTGTGTACGCCTATTTATTTAGACAACAGATACAAAGTTGAGGGGTAAAAATGGAAGTTGATAAGAAGTTAGTCCAATTATGTCCGTCTTATTAAGATTTAAAATTGTCTCATTTCAATATCAGCCATATATACTCATTTTTCTTAATAATAGTACAACATACTCATGTCTCAATGTTAGTGAGAGGAGGTGATAGTAATTTAGGTAACTAGCAATTAATCCGTGTGTTGCAAAAAGCGGAATATTCATGAATAATTTAAAATTTGTGCATCTCAACTTAAAAATATAAATTTAATACAAAATAATACTCCGTCCGTCCCAATATAAAGAGCACATTTGCGTTTTCAAACATTTTTAGGAGAAACACTATTATGCACTGTTTTGACACTGTTTTGACACTGTTTTACACGGTTTTGTTGCCAAAAAAGGAAATGTGCCTTTTTATATTGGGACAGCCTAAAAGGGAATATGTGCCTTTTATTTTGGGACGGAGGGAGTACTGTTTTAGAGTAAAATTATTTTGATACTACTCAAATACTTTGTTTAAATAATAGTGAGAAAAATAATTAAAATACCCCAAACTTTGAAGGGGTGTGAGATAAACACCTCAAACTTTCATATGTGATTTAAATACCCCAAAGTTTTTATAAAAAGTTATTTTAACACCATGGTCATTTATTATTTATTTCAAAAATGTAAATTTATGGTGTTAATTGCATAATTTAAAATAGCAGATTGAAATTGTTGCAATTATATGGAGTGGAAGGGTAGAACTATTTATTTCATAATGTAAGTTTAGAATGTTAATTGTATCTTCATGAATGGTAAAATATTTGAAATTATGAAATTAACACCAAAAAGTAGCATTTTTGAAAGAAATAATACATGACCATAGTGCTTACCTCACACCCCTTGAAAGTTCGGAATAGTATAATTATTTTTCCCTTAAATAGTTAGCAAATGGAAATAAAAAATAAAAAAAAATTAAAAAATAATAATAATAACAATAAACAGAAGAAAAAAAGTTTGCAAATGGCAATACATATATAAACATTACGCCCTAACAAAGACATAGTCGTCAGGGCCGGTGATGCCCGTTACATTTTTTGGTCTATGAGCGATATATTTTATTGGCTTATACCCAAGATAATTAAATCGTAAACTATAGAATATGAATATAACAAAAAAAAATCTAATAAAGGTCATAAAATAAATGCAAAAATCACATTACTATTACTATTTAAATTACATATTTGGACAAAAGTAACAACACAAGCGGCATTATAACAAAAGAAAAAATGTTACTTAAAACGTTTTTCGCAGAACAATGTGAAGTAAAATCATCAATGCAAAAATCACATTACTATTACTATTTAAATTACATATTTAGACATGTCTGTTATTAATTCAGCAACAATTGCATTGCTTTAAAAATTACAATTTGTCCTACTTAAAATTAATGTATTTTCTTTTACTCGGCTTCGTTTAAGACATTTTACTTATATTCTATTTTTCAAATTGTCAAAAAAATAAACATCAAGCCTAATTAAATGAACATAAAAATAGAAAAATAAGTCTACTCACACTATATACGGAGTATATAATATATACTCCGTATATACCTAAAAGATTGAACTATTCTTTTCTCTCTATATTTCCGGGCCTAGAGCCCTCAAGACCGGCCGTAATAGTCGTCTTTTTTTTGGAACACCGTAATTGTCGTCTTTAGAAATTAGAATATGTCGCCGAAAGGAGAAGGTACATCATTAAAACAACATTTACGTCATTTTTTATCGCATTGACACTACCAAAAAACACAGAATGTGGTACAGAAGTACCTATTTCTTGTGCCAAATAGCTCGTGCCAAAGTGTTTTTGGCACGGATTTGACATATCCCTACCAAATTTTTCTTTATTAATTTTCAAGTCCCTGCCAAAATCCCTGCCAATCCCGTGTTGTTTTTCAGTCTATGAGTATTTGGAAATTAAAGTTATAATTTTTTTGGAAGAATTTAAAGTTATAATTGTATCATCACTTTGTAAAAAGTAAGTATTGCCATAATATCATTTGACCCCTGGTGTTATTTTTATAATCTTCAAAACATAAAGTTGATTTAAAAGTCTAATGAACGAAAAGATATTAGACTATTAGAGCATCTTCATGGAAAATTTAACTTTAGATTTACGGAAAGTAAAAAAATACATGCATTTTAATAAACCAAACTTCTAGACAAACAAAAACGAGAAATTGGTTGATTCAGTCCTGTAACTTATAGCTATACCCGATATTGGTCCTGTAACTTTATTAACTTGCAATTTACATCCCGTAACTAACAAGTTGGTGCAATTTTGGTCCTTCTCTGCCGGAACTTACCAATTTTGCCGGAAAAAAACACATCACCTGCCACATGGTATATTATTTGGAACTCATTTGCAGACTCAATATTGGCCCTTAGCTGGAGTTAAAAAACCAGAGTACGAAAGCTCTTCGCTGAGTGTGTGCACAACCATACCAAGCCTATTATCGGACCTGCAAAAGGGGGAAAGAACACATAACCCTACCTGGAGATTTCTCCTGAACTAAGTCGAGAGAGTGAGTTATTCTTCAAATCTGCTAGTAACGACTCTCGATCAGACATGAGTTTATGGAGTGTGATTGTGGTAAAAAGGTTTCTCTTCTAACTTCTTGGGCTGATAACAATCCTGAAAGGAGGTTTCATGTGTGCGCTAGAAGCAGAGTAAGAAGTTGAGCTTTTTAATTTACTTTGTTTGCTTCTTTTTTTACTAAATAAACTAGAAATTTAAGAATATATAGCATTTGAATAATAAATTTCTTTGAAAATTAAAAAGTATTTAAATTTTAAGCTAGGTTCTTCTAATAAAATAACCATCTTCTAGTTGTTGGGGGCATTTGATAATGTATTTTTGTGTTCAAAGCAGTGAAAAGTAAGTTAAGCTTCATCTTGTTTTGATACAGACATAAGGTTGCAGATTTTTTGAATGGGCGAACCCACCTATGTGCCATCTTTGAACGATGATAATTCCGGGATTGGTTAGAAGACTCAATTCAAAAGAGGAAGAGGATGTAAAGTTGAAAGCTAAAAATAATAGACTCATCATAGTTGTTGTGGGACTAGTGTTTTTTGCTCCTGGTCTTTCTCATGTTAAAGATGTGAGAAGTGAAGATGATGTAACATTTCAAGAGTGTTAGGTAGTTTAGGTTATTAATTAGCACCACATTATGAAGGTGCAGTAAGACATTGTTATTGCTAGTTGTAAGTTTTCCCTAAATTGTTAAAAATTTACATCTTTTATTTTGAATTGACAAACTCAAATATATAAATGTTGACTAGCGGTGTACGCACTACGTGCGAC